GTTCCTTCCTCCTTCCCTCTCTCTGCTTCCTGTGTGGCCTGAGGAAAACTCTCCTCCACCTTATACTTCTGCCACTATTATGTTCTGTCCAAACTCATGGGGTCAAGCACTCTTGGACAAAGCCCTCAGACATCAACAAAATAGAATAAAGCTTTTAACCCTTTAATTTTTTTCTCTCAGATGTGTCCAGCACTGGGAAGCAAAAATAACTAATCTGATAGCTCTGGTTTGTTTTTCCCCAAATGATTCTCCTGCTCCTCTGGATGGCCGTAGCTTAAGAACACCTCATCCAGTTCAGCTTCTCACCGAGCAGATAGAGAAACAGAGGTAGAGAAAGGCTAAACTAAACCCCGAGGATAGTGAGTACCCAGGCCGGGCCGAGGAGGGCAGCAGAAACCACCTCTTAACTGCCCCCTGCAGCACTCCCTGCTGCACAGTGAATTCAAGAAAAGTGGGGGAGACCTGTCTGCAGTTAGAAGCTGTCCAGGTGATCCCAGGTAGTCAGCTGGTGAGAGATGACTCAGATGTGAATTCCCTGCTGGCTCCCATTTTCATCCCCTTGGGCAGTGTGTAGGAGAGGAATGACTGCATGAAGAGAGGGTTGTCAAAGAAAATATCCCGGCTGATCTATTTTAGTTAAAACAGCGTTTTCCCCCCAGGTACTGTGAGATTGCTTGTCTGTCAGGGTGTTGGCCTTGAGCGGGAGCTGGGCACCAGGGAAGGTGTTTTCAGCGGAGGGAGAAAATAGACATAAAAAGGGGGGCTGAGCCACAGGGTGCTGGGGGGGAGAGGGAGCAAGCGCCGTGGGCTCAGCGGTGTGCTCTTCTTTGCAAATATCTCTGGGCTAGAGCAGAGCCTCATCTCAAAGCAGCACTGGTGGAAATTAGCATTTCTCACATCCCAGGATTCCTCTACTGTTATTCAAAGTATTGCACTAAATTCACTCAAGTTGTTCTTAATTTTGTCATGGGTTTCTGTTCATTAAAATCGAGGCTGCTCTCAGGAGAAGGGAGTGAATCTAAACCAAATTCCAGATGTCTGGCCATGTCTCTAAGCAGTGATGGTGGTGAGTAAGGTCCACAAACACATCTGGATGTACCTGAAGGCAGCTATGGCAGGGTGAAGCAGAGGTTCTAATGAGATAGATAGAAAAATCACAGAGAACAGACATTTGAAAAAGAAAAATGTTTGTTAGTGAGCTGTATACAGGGATCGGATGTTTCCCCTCACTGGTTCAAAATTCTTAACCTGAGAGAGATGGCTCTTCCCTCAAGGCAGTTAACTTCTCAGTATGGGACCAACTATCTTGGGTATCAACATTTAACTGAATTTCTTGTTTCTCAATTAATGTAGCAAACATCCACAAATGCTCCCCTACTCCAACTTTAATATATCCCTGGACTCCTTCTTTTAGGAAAGTTGACTTCAAAATGTTGTGATCCTTCTCTTTTCTGGACATAATCTTTAGCCAAGTCATCCTCATCTACATGACCTTGCCCCAACAGTGTTCACCTAGAACAGCACACAAGCAGGGTTTATTGCTGAATTGCTCCCGATGGATGACGTTCATGCACGGCTTTCCCATATGCTCTAGTTCTTGGGGCAGACCCTCCACTATTTGCGCTAGTTTCTCCTCTGTTTGCTTCTTCTGGGTAAAGAGACACAAGAACTCACTGTCTACTACTCAGTGAAAATTTGGAGAAAGACACTGTGTCTTTTGGAAAGAAGTTCCTATTAAGAGCTGAAACAGGCCCTGCATGTGTTTAAACCAAGTGACAATAAAATCTCAAGCTCCATTTCTTGAATCTTCTTTCATCAACGATTAGTTCATGTGCCTTCATAAATTTTCTGTTTCCTATATTCTCGCTTGTTCTCTATCTCATTAGAAGCCCGTTAGATCATCTAAAAGTAACAAAAAGAAAATGATTCTCTGATGTGTCTGAGGAGAGAACTCTCTCTGGATGTTTCCAGTTGTGTGCGGAAGTGACGGAATCTATCGGAGAAGAGAAAGGGCAATGGAAAAGGCGAGAATAATACTTTTCTAATTACTATGATCGAGTACTTGGCAAGAAGCAACTTAATAATGGTTTATTTTGGCTCATAGTTCATGGGATACAGTCCAGAGTGGGAGAGACAGCACGGGAGTGGAAATGACTCCTGCCAGTGACAGCAGGAAGCGCCTGGTCTCAGTGGACCAGGAAGTGAAGAACAGGGAATGCCTCTATTCAGCTGGTTTGTTCCTTTTGTTCCCCTTTTAAGCAAGACTGGGACTCCAGCCCATGGGACCATGCTGCCTATGTCCAGGTTGGATCCGTTAATCCTTTCTGGGAATACCCTCAGAGACACAGTCAAAGTTATTTCTCATTAATGTCCTAGATGCTTATTAATCTGATCAAGCTGACAACCAAATATGGCTATCATAAATAACTTAGAGGAGGAATGTTTAAGAATACAGAAACTATCTACTGATTAGAAAGACCTAAAGATAATTAATAGATATCTAGTGTATATGAAAGTAGCCTCCAGAAATGGATAGGAAGAAATAAAAATGACAGAAAATATGGATTATGGAATGAAAGATTATTGTTAGAATGTGCACCATGCTATGCTCATACAGCCATTTGAGGCCAAATATGAGACCCTGAGTTCAGATCCCCACTACTCATGTAAAAAGCTAAGCATGCTAGTATGTGCCAGTGCTGAAGAAAGAGTTAGAGACAGATGAATCTTCAAAGCTTGCTGGCAAGACAGTACAGCTGAATTGGCAGCATCCAGGTTCAGTGGGAAGCCTTCTCAATAAGAAAGGTGAGGAATGCTTGAAGAACACACCCAACATTAAACTCCAATGTGCAAACATGCACCCCAACACACATACACAGGCATACACACACACACAAAGAGAGAGAGAGACAGGGAGAGAGATTTAACACTCTTCAAAACCAGCTACAGAAATGTCAACACACTTTCAAGAAATATTTTAATGATGTAAACTTCAAACTGCCCCTGAACTTGAGCACAGCAAAATAATCTATAGACACACTTGAATGTACTTGTGTGATGACACTTAGGTTTCAGGAGCCTTGTTCCAGTGACTGTGAAACCAAATCTAGACCTACTTGAAAGTATGTTTTGTTATTCGGATTTGTTTAAACCACAGCTAACAGTCCTGGGAGCTCTGAAAGCATCACATCCCTCTTGGCTTTCAGTAGGCATCAACCCTTCCCAACTAGAGTATTCAGATGTTGATCAGCGCAGGACTGAATCTTATGAAAGGAACTGTGTGTCCCTCTAACTTGTACATCCGTAGGTAGGTTTGCTCTTCTCATTTCAACCAGTAGATAGTCAGCAGAAGCAGTGATGGGGTGCAAGACGTGATACTACAGAACACCAGACTATGCAATGGGGCAGCTTTTGGGGGGAGATATCCTTGACAGAGTTATCTGGGGGCATTATACTTGCCAAATGCTTTTAGTCCCTTTTCCAGTTTTCCCAGAATTTGAAATCTGAACAGATCAATCACCTAAAATGGTGACGGCATCAACATCTAAGTATCCCTTAAGTTTTACAGAATCCAGCACAACTGAATATCATTGTTTTGTTTTTTTTTATATTTACCTTTTATTATTCTTAGTTCTTTTTTTTAATAGTAAGAAATTTTCTACTCATTCTACATACCAACCACAGATCCCCCTCTCCTCCTCCCTCCCAAGCCCCAGTCTTCTCCCCAAACCACCCCCCATTCCTACCTTTTCCAAGGCAAAGCCTGGTATATTCAGCTGAGTCAGGTCCAAGACCTTCCCCCTGTATCAAGGCTGTGCAAGGTGTCCCACCATAGGCCCTGGGCTCCAAAAAGCCTGCCCATGCACCAGAGAGGGATCCCAATCCCACTGCCAAGGGGTCGCCTAAACAGTTCAAGTTAAACAACTGCCTCGACTATGCAGAATACCTAGCCCAGTCCCATGGGGCTCCACAGCTATTGGTCCACAGTTCAGGAGTTCCCACTAGTTTGTCCTGGCCTCTCTATACATTTTCCCATCATGATCTCGATATCCCTTGCTCATAGAACCCTCCTCTCTTTCATTGACGGGACCCCTGGAGCTCAGCCTGGAGCTCCGCCTGGCGCCCAGCGTGGATCTCTGCATCTCCTTCCATCAGTTACTGGATGATAACAGGGTATTTACCAATTTGATTACCAGAGTAGGTTCCGTCAGGCACTGTCTCCACTATTGCAAGTAGTCTAAGGTGGGGTTTGTAAAGACCCTCCTCAGTCATTAATACAACACACACAACTTGTGACACACAACTTGATGTCTGGTTGCAGAAACTATAAGAATTGCACCAGACATAGCGATGCAAGCCTGTGATTCCCAGCACTTAGAATACTGATACAGGAGGATCACGAGTTCAGGATTGACCTGGGTTAGCTAGTGATAGTTTGTCTCAAAACAATGAAACAAACAAATAAAAAACACAGGTGCTAACTGCTGGAGGTTGAGTTCCATGGTGATGAACATGGCCAGAGAACAAGGAGACACATGCCCTGCAGGCAGGAAAACTCTAGCTACGGTAGGACTCTTATAAAAGTCTTTTCCACACCCATGTTCCAAACACAGGTTTGAGGTGACAACCTTCTACACTCTCAACATGGCGAGACCATGACTACACCTGATTCTACCCTGTCAACTTGCATCTCCTAATACTGGCCTTGGAATGATAGACATCCCAGATCTTTCATTCCAATAACAAATATGCAGTCCCAAAATACTTTTTTAGTGTTTTTATTACATTTTAGCTTCAATGTGTTTTCAATGAAATAGAAAACATCATGTGCTCTGCTTTCCTCCCTCCAACCTCACCCCAACTACCCTCCATCAAACTCCTTCCATGGCCCCCTACTATCAAGTTGATAGTTCCCTTTTTCTTTTTAGTTACATACACATGCGTGTATACATATGCACAAATACCTACTGAGTGTGTTTTTGTTGGTGTGATGGGCTTACCATTCTGCATAAGACAATCCACAAGAAACTAGCTCTCCTTCTCCCAGCAGTCATGAGTCGCCTGTAGCTCTTTGTCTAGGGCTGGGATCCCGTGAAATTTTTCCTCTGGAAGGATTATTTTGAAATGGTTGTTTTCAGACACTATAGGTGATAAAAAAAATAAATAAATAAAATAAAAGAGCTCTGAAAAGTTACCCCTTCTTAAGAAAAATTTATATCTACAAAGAAAATCACAACTTGTAAAGGCATTTTTCTCTCTATGCCAAGAAGAAAGGGAAGACTAAAATGCCAGAGATTCTTGGAGAATAAGGAGATGGCTCAGTGGGTAAGAGCACTTGCTGTGTAAATATGAGGACCTAAGTTCAAATCCTCAGAGACCATGTATCCCCAGAGCCTACATAAAAAGGCAGGTGTGTGTTCATCTATGAACCTGTCACTGTAGAAGTCTGAGCCAGGAGGCTCTTTGGGGCTTGCTGGCCACCAGCCTAGCTCCAGTTAGGGGGAAAAAGCCTTTCTCACGGGAATAAGGTGGGGAGTAGTAGAGAAGACATCCAGCATCCTTCTCTGGCCTTATCTTGCCTCAGTTGTGCACATGTGCACAAAAGTGCAACACACACACACACACACACACACACACACACACACACACACAAATAAGTAAACACTACATAAACAAATACTAGAGATTCCTAATAAATAAAGAAGACATTGGCTTCCATCAGCATAACATACTTTATTTTTGTTTAATGATAACCAAGCACATCTCTCATTAGTTCTTTTTTAAAGTTGTTTTTTTTTTTCATTTATTTAGGTATTTTGTGGGAACATCGGTGGTGTGACTTGTATGGAAGAACAGGACAACTGTGGGAGTTGGTTCTCTCTTTCCACAACGTGGCTCCAAAGTATCAAACTCAGACCATTCAGCATAGAAGCAAATGCCTTTATCCTCTGAGCCATCCGCCTGACTACTCTCATTGGTTTTTTGTTCTAGAGAACAGTGGTATTTAAGACCGATGCATAAGATGATTTCCTGTACGTTTTCTTATTAGCATGGGATAACTACACATGATATTGCATTTTGCTATGGTACGGTGTAATATATTTTTGATCATATTCACCACCCACTACTCTCTTTGCTCCCCTTCCGCTCTCATGGATCCCTTTCCTATCCCCAACTAGAAAAAGCAACTGTGAGAGACCTACTTCAGGGCTGAGCCTCATGGCATGGTCCTACAATCACAGCTACTCAGCAGGCTGAGGCAGGAGGACTGCAAGTTCAGAGTCCATGGAAAGTACAGAATATCAAGGTTAGCGTGGGCGACCTCCTGAGAGTCTGTCTCCAGGGAAAAGGTCAAGAGAAGGCAGAATGTATAGGTCAGTGGGAAGCACTCACCTAGCACACACAAGACCGTAGGCCTGATCAGGCTCTAGGTTTCATCCCCAGCATCTTAAAAAAAAAAAAAAAAAAAAAAAAATACTCTGGAGGTTTACTGCTTTCTCCCGCTTGCTTCTCCTGTGTGTAGGAGTTGTATGTATTATTAAACCTCCATTTGTAGTTCCCTTGTTAATTTGTTTTGTCACAGGGAGTCCCAGCTTATGACTCACAAGGGATCGAGCAGAGAATTCTTCCTCCTTCCTGCCTGACAGCTCTATCTCCCCTAAACTCTGGTCAAGTCTACTGGGGTCTCTCTGAATTGCAGCCCTGCCTTCACGAGCTAGGAAAATGAAGGTTTGGAATGCCCTGTCCTTCAGTCTAATGCCAAGCAATTGCCTGTCTCAAGCTTAAGGAATTCTTTGCTGCTCTCTGTGCTCAGTCAGATGCTAAACCTATGACCATTGTTTTATCCATAAATGATTCGACCAGCCAGAAAAAAAGGAATTGTCCTCTCATGTGCCAGTATAACCAAGTGCATCTAGAAACTGGAAGTAGAATGCAATGAGTGTTGTGGTGGCCTTGGTTTCTTTATGTGTGTCAGGAGGAGGCTAATGCCTACCTCACTGGATCAGTGAGGGAATAGGAGACCCACAGCTAGGCCACTACACCCAGTGACTGGTACATGGTTAAATGCTCAATAAATGGGAGGTGTAAATGCAAAGCAGAATTTCCACCCAACATCTGAGGTTAGTGTCAGTCTCTGGCCTTCTTTCCCCACACTTAAATTAAATGTGAACTCCATTGTCCTTTGGCTTCACAGTTTTACTAACCACCTTGGACCAGCTCTAGTATGACAGTGAGATTCCAGGGTGAAAGCTTCTAGAAGCTGCACACCCTTGAGGGCAAAAAGAGTCAGTTATAATCATCATGCTTGTCAGCACAGCAGGATCCCTGCCTCTTACATCTGCCTGAGTGTGCTACTCGGGACAGCATTAGACAAGTATCATTTTGTCAATTAACCTTTTCCCATTCATGGTTTATTAAGGCCTGAGCAAATACATTTACTAAGCAGAGTGGGGCTTTTATTTTTTTTGACACAGTAGTTGCAGCTTCAAACACAATGTACCTGCACTTTCCCCTTACAACAGACCCAGTGGCATTTCTCTGGCAAATTGGATGACCTTGTGTCATGCTATGTAAGAAAATCATATTAATTTATAGAAAGCCTCGGTTTATTTAACATTAGGAGCAAAGGGTGCATGTGTTTTGCTCAGCTTTTCATATCCAATGGGTATGAGAAAGCAGAGGGTATTAGATGTTGCCAACGATCAGTGACTACTTACCCTTCTATAATCTCAATGCACTTGGCCTTCCTCACCAGCACCTGAAACCTATGTGCCACAGTGCACTTATGACTAAGATGCTAGCTGACATAAAAAGTCAAGCAGATGGGGCTGGGTCTTCTCAACACCCATGTTAAAAACCTTCAGTGGGATCATGTGCACCTGTAACCTCAGTGCTGTGGTGGCTGGAGGCATGATTGTTGCTGGGGCTTGCTGGCCACTAGCCAAGCCCTGGGATTACTGAAAGACCCTGGGCTCAGTGAAAGGCCCTGTCTTAGCAACACAAGGCAAAGAGTGCTAGAGCAGGATACTTGAACTGGATCCTTCTCTGGCCTCTAGAGAGGCTCTTGCACACACACACACACACACACACACACACACACACACACACACACACTCCACATTTATATATCACACTTACAAATTTTCTAAAAAGTAAAATAAACTGTAATTTCTTACTCTGTCTTACAAAATGCCCACAACACAGCCTTCTAATGAATATATAACAATAAATATTTTTGCTGACACTTTATAATGTACCAAATTGTGCTAAGTACTTTGTATCTATTCTTATACTTTAATCCTCAGAACAACTCAGGACAGAAAGTATTACTATTTCCATATTAAAAATGAAGAAACTATTAAAACTATTTTGTCAGTGATCAAGGCAACCAGAACCAGTTTGCCCTAACCAGCACATACTCTATGATGTCCAGTTCATACCTTCAATTCACAGCTTTGCCCATATCTCATCCTTCAAATGTATTTCAATTGTGATAACAACTAACAGATGCATCTATTTCAAAAGTAAAGACGGACGTGATGAGTAATGCTGGAGACGGTGCTAAAATCTTCAATACATTTACGGAGTTGGGAATATTGACATTATTTTGTGAGTATAACCTAAGGGGGGAAAATGTCTGAATGAAGTCAAGCAGACAGATATTGATCCAGCCTTGCTGATATGACAGAAGCATCAGTTCAAAATTCCTCTCCATGGAGGCATGAACAAGAAACAGAGCTCTTCTCCACTCCACCTTTCCTTTCTCCCTAAGGGGAAGTCCCTTACCCCATCACTGGTCCATCTCTTCCTGCTTCTATTCCCATGTGTGGATTCCAGAAGCCATACTGAAACCCGCTGCTTCTGCTATGTACTGGACACTGCCTTCTACTCGAACCCCCTGGCTTCCTCTCCTTTTCCTGCTGTCTCACTCATCCCTTGGGCATCCACACCCCCTCACTGGTAGGTAGTTTCTTCTCTCATTCTTTCTGTTCCTAACACTGTTGAATCAGAGCTTCAATTTTGAAATGATGTGATGTGACAGACTAGAAAGAAAGTACATGCTGATTTTCAAGTTCCCTGTTTCTTAATTTTAAAAAATAAGCTAATCACTGAAAATTTTGTAAAATTAAGATCAATTATGCTGTTATCACAGAAAGAACATCAAAATGATGGTCTGGGGAAATGTGTGCTCTCTCTGGGGCTTCTGAAGGAACAGTTGACAAATGATTCGCCCTGCTCTCACTATGGTGACCTCAACAGCGACGCCAGTAAGACAAACAAGAAGGCGAATGAAAAGGCATTTAATTCTGAGGTCCACAAGGAAAAGAAACACACTCAAAAGTATTAATATTTGTCGAATGGACTAAATCAGACTGGGAATAGGAACTACACTTGTTTTGCAGTTAGAAGAAGGATAAACTGTGTGCAATAAAAATGGAAACCATAGGAAAGGGGCACTTATAATCCTAGCTTTAGATGTTACTGCAAATGAGTCTAATCGCCATGTTATCATTATCAGGATTATTATTGTTATTACTGATAATAAACATGTACTGGCTGCCAACAGGATGCCAGGCTCCACACAAGAGAGAATTAAGATCAGTCCCTGCAGTGCAGGCTTACAGCAGATTATAATTGCCATAGAAAATAATATTAATAGCAACTCGATATTTTATTAGAAAAATAACATTCTTTCTCGCTGCTCTCTGGGTTGCCTACCACCAAGTGGAGGCTTGATTCTGAGAAGGATGGCCGTGGACTCCAAAGCTTACAATTCCCCCACCCCCCAAAAAGCTAATGTCTCCTCTGCAATTTTCCAGCACCAGACACTTCTTTGCATCTGTTTTCATATGATCAAGCAGGGCCATCTCACATCTACTCAGGTTTCTACGTCACAGATGAGATAGTTTCCCGGATTCAGGTCAAGTTGGCTGATTTTACAGTGGTTATCTTGAAGAGTGATTTTAATTTTCAAACTCAGGTTATAGTCTACTAGTGAGGCTTAAAGTCTAGTTAAGGATTTTCATCAGGATTTTATTTAAAAAAAAAAAAAACAATAATTGAAAAGAGCACAAAAGAATCTATATATATTTGGTAAGAATAATGTTTTCTGAAACTTGCTTCCCTGTTATATGCATGT